TCTCTCTCTCTCTCTATCTCTATCTTTATCTCTCTCTCTCTCTCAGCCTATCCCCCCTCCCCTCTCTCTCTCTCTCTCTCTCTCTCTCTCTCTCTCTCTTTCTCTCTCTCTCTCTCTCTATCTCTCTCTCTCCACTCTGCCCCCCTCTCTCTCTCCTAAAACGTGTTCCTTTTGGTGTTCAGGACTTTTAAGCTGATTGACGGCGATAAGAAAATTGGCTCGCCGAAGAGTCCATTGTGAGAATAATAATATCTTCCGCTGCGCGGACACTTAAACAATAGCTTTTTCATATTTTTATATGTTGGTTCCTCAGGAGCCTGAAAGACGGATTGGACAACGAATATAGATCAAACTGATATAGGTGGTAGAACGTTTTGACGTCTTTAACAAGTCGCCGAAAGTAACAATGACTGCTGCACAATTACGTGTATGATTAACAATTGTGTAACGACGTGGTGGTATCAGACGCTGGTAAATATTTGGGCATGTGGAGTTTTTTATATCATCTTAAAGCTTGTTCATTTGTCTTGCAAGTTGCAAAAAAACACCCATTTATCTTGAAAATAAGTCGAGGCATTATCGATTGAAGGAAGTAGGGGTCACCTGGATTAAGAGATAAAATTAGCAAGCCAAAGCTTGGTTGTTTCACAGCTTAAGAGACCTTGGAAACTGAAACTGAAAATGTACTTTTTTGTCCCTTCAATCAATGTTTTTTCAAATAAAATACATACATTAGCGTGTTCTTTTATAGACATAAAAGGGGTTATGCTAAAAAAACAAAAATTTATTAAAATTGTCAAACCTGCGGGAAAATGCCGCAATTTCTACAATTTCATTATTTTGATGAGCGCCTGATTATACCAAGCTGTATCACAAATGTGTTCTTTACCCTTCACCGTAACAGAGGGTGAAAAGTACTGCCAAATGTGTCACGATATGCTAGAATAAGGGGCTCGTCAATAATTTTTGATCGTATTAAGAAGCTATGGGTACAATCATAAAGCCTGTTCTTTTTCCTTAATCCATGTATCTCGAATAGAAGTGATATTTACGATTGAAGGAGACATCATTTGCCTGATGACAGGGATAACATTAAGAATGAAATAAATATCACAACTGGTGACTTCTAAAACTGTAGAGTCCTAGGAAACTAAAGAGGTACATTTTCTAAGCCTTTGATAAAAGTTTTTCAGAAAAATCCCAGCAAGAATATGTTCTGCTATGGACATAAGAGATAAACCCAAAACAAACCAAAGAAAATTTAGGAACAAATTGTCCAAAGGGCGGAACAATGTCGGCATCTCCTATTTCCTTATTTTAATTTCGCACCTCATTTCACCACGATGCCACACAAAATGTGTCTTTGTCAAAGTTGCAGCTCAGATAGCTGAACCCATGGCACATAATATTTGGCGAGAATCTAAACCCACAAGTCATCAACACAATAGACGTCATATTCTGTACGGATTATTTGTTGTTGTTTTTATTTTTGTTGTTGTTGTTGTTATTGTTGTTGTTATTGTTGTTTTTGCTGTTGCTGTTGCTGTTGTTATTGTTGTTGTTGTTGTTGTTGTTGTTGTTGTTGTTGTTGTTGTTGCTGTTTTGTTGTTTTTTGTTGTTTTCTGACAGGTTTATTTTGGGGGAAATTTAGTGGCGCATAATCAATGTTCTATAAAGGGATCGGAACAGAGTATATAGTTAATTATCACGGCTGTCTTCTTCAAGTGTCGTAGCCATTCAAGAAAAAGGTTCTTTTAAGTAGACGGCTTAAATGTTTGGGTGTGCTGATATCTCTATGGGTTATGGGCTTACGTATAATAGTCAAAATCAACGTCTCTATAGAACATTTCGGTTACATTGTCATTTCTCAAATCTGTTCAAACAAAACAAACTAAAGCCAAATCATCTAAAAGCAAAGACACGATTTTAGGATTGGTTTTTGGGAAAGAGTTTTGTGAGACATAAAAGACGTTTTCTAGGATGGTGGCTGAAAATCTGAAAGCTTTGATTTAAAAACTACGGGTCTAAAAGCTAACACAGCCCAGGAACTGACTGAAGATTTCGCTCTCATATTGTAATGGGCAATAAAACCATCCCAGAGAAACAGGCAAGCAGGATGGTATTAAGGTTATCTCTATTCCGGACATAACATTAATGCTACTGGCCAGCCTTCTATCATTTTATCTCCCAAACATACTGTAGATCTAACAGCAATATTTCCTTTAAAGGAAAGCCATTTTATTAACCCACTATTACGGTTTTTTCCATCTTTATTCATGCAAAACACATTGCCCTTGCTACCCGTACATTGGCCATAATTATTGTAATAACAAGAGGGCGAACAATTTATAGAGAATATACCACAATACTAATATGACGAATTTGTGACCGTCATATTGATGCGACCTCTGTAGGTGTCATTAGCATAGACGCTGTGACACTGCTTAGACACAGGGCATTGCCCTACGGCTACCATCTATAATGCATAAAATAAAAGTATTTGAATTATATTCTTTGTTGATTCATGTTTTGCATTTAGGTTAAAAATATAACGTTTATGTTTACCAGTATTTTTTCTCATACCAAAATAGATGACTTCTGAGCCTGTATCTATTCTTTTGTTTGCCATTAGTCGATATTAGGAACAGGCTTTATTTATAAATACAAGAATATCCAAAGTTCAAAAGTACCGATCAACTTGTTAACCGAATGTTTGAAAGAACTCTTACAAACAAAGGAGCTTCTTCTTGAAGTACACTTTCCTTCTGATACATCAGAGATATTAAATCAATTATGGTGGTCTTTGAAAATAATAACAAAATGATAATAGTAAGGTGACATTTCGTTCCACCGCGGATCTTCAAGTTAAAGTCCTTTCATAGATTCATGGGTACAGGATACACGAATTGAACAATTAAGATATTCATGGTTGCTTTGAAGATACGAATATTTCATTTTTTCTTACTTTAAAAAAGATGACTCGAGTTCAATACTGCTTTGAAGAACCATTGGCTGAACTGTGAGGAGCACCCGTGTAGTGGAAATGTGATAACAGATTCGATCGATTTTTTTATCGAGTTTAGCGGTTTTTCTTCTGCAATGTTGTATTCTTCTCAGCCCTTGTCAGCTGTGGTAGGAAAGGTCAGAAACCAGCCTCCTATATAATCTAAATGTGTCGATGAGGACGTAAGACACCAACATTGATATTGTTATATTTGCTGAAAAGAAACACAGTTTGACTTTCGGCTGATCAAAGGTTTATTCACGTCAGTACACAAATAATGGGACTTTCCGCTGCCCCAAAAATTTTTTTAAGGAAGCGAGAGTTGTACTTCGACAACAGTGTCAATATTAATTGCATTTTTGTTCACATATTTTAATTTTCGTCCCAAATCAACTTAATTTAGATCGTTTGGGAGATGGACAGAATTGACCCTATTTTCCACGGCCAATCCCAGGGGAGTGGGATACAATATCCCGGAGGAAAGAAAAAGAAAATGTATAACTTCATAACTACCCCTTTCGTGAATCTAACTTGCGTTTTCTGAGTGTAAAGGTTACAAATTTTATTGGAATGTTGCATTATTTGGAGATACATTATATCGAAACGATAGAAAGAAAGCTATGTACAAGAATAAACCTATCGATAACGTTCGAGCCAATATAATGTCCTCACATGTTCGTGAACTGATAGTTGAAGATCAGCAGTTATTATGTTTTTGGGATTTGTCCGGTTTGGATGCCAAGTTTGAATCTGTCAATTTCGTTTACTTATTAGCTGCCGTTCATACGAGAGTCCTCATTACTAGCGTAAATTGGTTTCGGCCCACCACCTGAAGTTTTTGCTCCACTCTTCTCCGGGTATGACGCACCATCACTATTTATATCTATGACATCATCCCCATCCCCTGTAGCCTCTGTAATTAATGTGTTATCGGACTTGGGAGGGGAGTAATCTTCAGGTTCTTCACCCCGTTCGTAATTATAGGGATCATCTTGGGGCTCGTAATCATCGTAATTAGGATAATCCGAATCGGGATCATTCGAATCCGACTGGTAGGAAGAGTTCGATTCTTCGTCTTCGCTTTCTCTTGGAATGAATTTATCGTCATCAGTAAGGCCGATAGTGTCCTTGATATTTTTATCCCTGAAAAACATATCGGAAAGGGAATTTTTTCGCTCTGGAGAAACGGAGTCACTAAAGGCACCTCCCTGTAGGGGTGATTCCCCGGTCGGACGGTTGTAAATATCCTGAAAGCTCGGGCCCTTCGGAGGATCGAACCCTTTCCCTAGAGAACTAGCTAGCGAGTCTCCACCCCCGATAGACCCTCCGGCTAGCCCAGTGGCCGCATCCGGGCCCCCATTGACAAGTGCTGCCCCAGCAAGCTTACCGTCCAGGTTGAAAAAGTCCGAGCCACCAATATTGCTGAAAACAGACGGGAACTGACTGTTAGTATAACCATAGGGTCGGTTGCTGTTGCTCTGTCCGTTCTGGCTGTTGAAGTTGTTGTTGTTGTTAAAATTTTGGTTGCTTTGTCCAAAGCCGCCATTAGAACTAAATCCATATCTTGGAGAATTACCACCGTTATTTCGATAATTGTTAGAACCTCTACCAAAACCGTTGTTATTGTTGTTAAAATTGTTCCTGCTTGCGCCCAAGTCTTGGTTGTTGTTGTTGTTGCTGTTTCCGTAGAAACCGCTGCCGAATCCAGGACTTGATGACTGGAATCCGAAGTTAGGATTATTGTTTCCGTAAGGAATTAGGGTGAACTTGCTGCTGCCACCATCGTTATTGAACTGGTTTTGAGGGGTGCCAAACGCGCTTCCCGAAAAGATCCCGGCATTGCCTCCTGCGTTGTTCGCCTCGCTTGCAGTGGGTATCCCTAATCCGATGACACAACATCCCAGCATTGGATTGTTCCCGTAGACAGAGTAAGGTCCATCATAGATCTGGGGAAAACAGACACAAAGTATGTACAACGTTATTTATCATTTTTGCAATTAATTTTTTTTAAAATACAAAAACAACAACACCAAAAACAACAACAGCAACAACAACAACAACAGCAGGAAATAACTATACGGGTCAATATCCTTAAAACGGGAGGTGCAAAGAAAGTCCCGCGGCGACCAGTCACTACTGGTAAAATTCAGGACTGGTCACATTTCTAGACTGTGGTCGAACTGAAATAGAACAGACAAAACAATCGGTCATTTGTGCAGCGAGGAGCTCCAGGATTTGGAGTTCTGGCTGCTGAGATGCCCCGCTACGAAGGTCCCGTGGTGGCATCTCTTTGGGGAGGATTCATGGAGGTTGGACTGCTTCACCCGAAGTGAGGCGGTGGCTCTGGCGGAGAGCACGCTCTTCGGGGCTCCAAACAATTCGAAAGGATAGGCTTCCCCGTACACAACAACAGCAAAAACAAAAGAAGCAGCAGCAGAGGCAGGAACAACAACGTCCCCCACCCCCACCCCAACCCCCCCCCCCCCCACATACACAACAAACATCAACGCAAAAAACGAAAAACAAACAATAAAAAACCTACACATTATACTTCTTATCACGACGTATCAACAGCTATGGCGTGAGCTTCCGCAACAGCTAGTAGGAACATAACTTCAGTATTGGCTAACTCATTATGGACGCGCATTTGGATCCTTCGGCAACGATTGAAGACGTGTTGTTTTGGGGCAGTTTGAAAAGAGAGCATAACTTTGTTATTTACACAGATTTATTCAATTCTATTTTCTTTATCTTCAGCTTAAACAAAGACAGACAACATACATACTGCTCATAATATGAAATATGTTAACTGGTATTTTTAAAAATTTCTGCTTGATGGCAACATTGCCTTATTGATTTGCGGCTGAACGGACATACTGTTATGTGTCTATTATGTCTTCTTTAAAGAGTTAATGTTGAAGACACTGCAGCAAGGTTTAGAAAAGGGATCCTGTCTTTATTCAGAATGCTCCCTCACCATCGCCATGTAAGATAAGGTAAGATAAGATATATCTTTATTGTCCTGATCCTGGCACATTGGTTTGGTGTTTCACCACGTGTACACACAAACACACACACACACACACACAGACACACACACACACATACACACACACATGCACACACACGTGCACACACGTAAGCTTACAATTACATGCATAATATAAATGAGCAGAAAAATATACTATAACAATCTTATTAATAATGTTATTTTGATGTAGGCGGTAAATCGGATAAGCTGCTTCATTGGGAGGAAGGGGAGGTCGTGGTTGGGGGGTTGGGGGAATGTTATATAATGTATTGGATATACTGTAAAGTTTAAACAAAAGGGCACAGAGCTCCATTCGTGCATATTTCACTCACACTTTCTTGTTCCCCCAGGCCTAGACGTGCACATTTCCTTTATAGGAAGCCGGCCACCTCAAACCTACTTCTATCACCACCGTCTGGGGTGTAACGGTTAGCCCTTTGCTATTGCACACAGGAGACCCGAGTTCGATTACTGGGTTGGGACAAAAATATGTTATAAAAAATATGGGACTCTGATGGGATGTTGCATCCCTCTCAACTTGGGTTGGTCCTCAGAGGCGTGGTCTAACCCAGCCCTCTAAATGTTCTCAACTGTGTCGACAGAGGAAAAAAAACCCCGCCTACATTTAAAAGACGAAGAATAGCACATTTTTTTTATATTGAGTCATTTTTGGAGCGATTCAGTCCACACCTGAAATGAATAATTAATGAGATACGGGCATTGTTGCCTGAATTTACTTTTCATGTGAACCTTCTGAGACTCGTGGTCACGACTATAAACTCATAAACCCCGATCAGAGCTCCACGAGCCGACCCTCGATAGCCCCAGCCGTGCCCGGAGGGCACACAAAATGCTTTTACTTAACGCTCTCAGTGTTTTATTTCCAAGTTTCATTTGCAATTGATGGACTTCACGAGGTATCTCACTTTCTCACACTTGTTTATTCATTGCGTATGTATCCGTCTCACTTTTGTGAGTGTGTTGACCACGCAATTAAAACTGTGTAGCATATTGATGGGTCCAGTTTGGTTTAGTTTTACAAAGAGTTTTACGCCCCTTGCACAGCACATAGGTCATATTGCTGCCGAAGATAAGACGCGTTATTAGATAGCAGGATACAAACAAAAGGTAGAGAAATCTTATTTATCGCTAATCATCACAGACGCCAAAAGTATATAATATCTGCGTGCATTCTGTGGTTGTTGCGACACTCTTCACTGAGAGAGCGAGATGGCTTTTGCCATGAAGCTGTCATAAAATTATAAAGTTCTATCTGATTGTTTGGGCCGTTTTGAGTTAATAAGACCATGAGGTCAGAAACTAATGTGTTCTATCAGCTCTATCAAATGACTAATTTTTTAAGTCGTTATCAAGATGTTCAGAGAATTGCATTCGAAAAGGTTTTACATGTCGTTAAATTCAAAAGTATTAGTATTAACGTTGAATTTCTCAAAACTAGGTACTGAGCAGATGGAACTTTATAATTCTAGAGTAGAGATGAATGAATGCCTGACGGCACTTTATGGAGTTGCCACAGCTACCATGTTGGCACAATTCTACCGATTGGATTAGTAGAAACTTTGAATAATAAACATGTTTGATTTTGAAGGTGACATTCTAATTTGTCGAATTCGGTCGAATTCTGCTGGGGAGTAGCTTTATATCTCCTCATGGGTGAAACTCGTGGTTGGCTCCGACTCAGTTGTATTGAGTTCGAGTGGCAGTGTGTACTTGGTAATACTTTTCATCTCTGAACAAAACTCCCGACCATAGGACCAGGTTGTCTTAAAAGTGCCAAACGGGTGCGAGCTGCTCACGAGAACTACGTTGTGGCACAGCTGTTTTAAGTAGATTGCTCAATCGCAACGTTTGCTGAGGCAAACAATTGATGGACAATGGGTGAGTTTTTGGCTGATATCAAATACATGTTAACGATTACTGAAATATTATCAGTCTGTAGAATGTGGGGAGATTCTCTCTACAACTGGCTGGGTTGTCATCCAAATCGCATTTGTGCTTGGTTGCATGGTTAGAAAAGTGATACATGCTGAGAACCCCAAACGCTCCCTAAAACAGCACAACTTAAAAGAAAAACTCAGTTGGGGAATGGAATCGAACCAGGGCCACCTATCCACAACCCAGCATGAAACTGATTGAGCTAACCGAGTCCCCTTATTTGCAAAAGGCTGAAGAGAAAATGACTGGGTAACGAGCTTAATGGGTAGACGTTTTCTCGTTTTACAGTTTTTAAAGCAATATTTCTTTTTCATTATTTACTGACGTTACACGTGTTACATTATTTTAGAACTGCGCCTTTGAATGTGAAAATCAATTTGTTCCTTCAAAGGGCATGGCCACTGTAATTGTGTATTGTTTTATTTCTTTCTATCTAGCTTTTGAACATAGAATTGAGGGGTTTGGAATTTGATGATGTTTTGAGCTTAAATAGCAGCTTTGCCTCTCCATAAAGGAAAATCTGGGCTTTCGCTACTGAATAAAATGAATTCGGTTGGAAGTGTGCTCTGGGTATACATGTCAACATAGAGTGAACTCTCCCTACCCAGAATATTATCTAAGGCAAACTTCTGATATTTAAGTTAGATAGTAGTTGGTGATGTTGTGTGTATAAAAGCTGCCGGATTGCCCTTCAGCGTGAAAGGGGAAATGAGATGTGACGCATTATATTTCTGTTCGCAAAGCTGATTACATCACCGAATTCAGTCAATATCTCTACCTCCCCATTCCCCTTTTTGTCGATACCGATTGTAGTAAATAGAGTTTCGTTTCTTTCTCTTTATAAAACGTTTCCCCTCTGTGTGTTCTATAGGGCTGAGGACTGTGCCACATCATGTTGCCACAGTGCGGTCAAAAATTCGTGACGCAACTTATTGTCGCATATTAACTCCAAAACTATTGAGCAAAGAATCTCCAGCTGTAGTGAACACATTTTTCGCACTGAAGGTTCTCAAAACATGCTTTCAATAAATATAATGTCGTGATAAAAAAAAAGACATATTCGTTTACAAGCGATATTTCCTCAGTGTTCACTGCAAAACTGATTCCCTGTAACATATTTTGCCACAAGAGAGTGTAATTGGTGAACTGTGACGTAGGCTGTAATATACGTATGTAAAATATTTATGAGAAGGGGAAAATGCTGAGAATAATATCATTTCCTGTGTGACGGAGATTTGAAGTATTTTATACACATGTATGAACAAAAGTGATTTTTAATATAGCTTCAGTTGTTGTGGGAAAATATTATGAAGTTAAGTCATATAGATACAAACGTGCAAAGTATGGTTGACATTGATTAAAATATTGAAGAGATTATTGAGAAAAAGTTACGCCACGAATTTTTGACCACACTGTAAGAGTGTACCATATGAAAAATTGCACAAGAAGAGTAACGAGTACGTACTGATAAAGAAGAACCCCTGGACAACTTTGTCATCCTCTCGACTCACCCATTAGTGGTTGTACAACAAGAGCGTCGGACCAGGACATTCACCCAATGAAGCTATTTACAACTCTCTCTCCTCGACTACCAGCCCGTAATTATGCGAGTATTATTATACCTTTATACGCAAAAAAAAAACCCTGCCATAATTATATACTGAAAATACAGTACATCCGTAATGAGGTAAAACTGTTGGTCCAGCTCTTTAATTCTTTCGGTTTAACGTCAGAAGGCGGAATAATCTTTTTGAAATTTGATTTTAGATCATTGATCCACGGACGGAGTTTCCATACACGATCACTGCTTGTGCCGTCATCATGAGTCTCATTGCTGACAAAATGCAATTGTTTCAAGAAAAAAATTAAGTACTGGTAGTGTGTATTTCACAGTTTGTATAAATACCCTTGTTTAGAGAAAAATAACTTTATGAACCTTTACATACAGTCTAAAGGCTGTTTACTGTATGTATTTACACTGAAATGAAGTCAATCTGCTTTTTTATTTGTCCAGTCAACTTGAACTTTTTTGACATTTTACATTGAAACAGGGCTATGTGATAAAAATCAGGACTCAAATGCCCAATGTTCCACATCTGGCACACAAAACGTCCAGGGCTGCCCAGTGTGCCATATTTAGACCATACCTAAAAACACCCCCATAAATCAAAATGTAAATGTTGAACATGAAATTTGAAGATGATAATATCTAAATCTACTTTGTTTCAAAACATATATTAGGAAAAATTGACAAAATTATGTACCTGACGGTTGATGGTAATAGATTGAAGAAGAGTGGGTGTGGTTGTCTGTTTCAAGCATAAGTGGTGGTAAAAAACAGGAAATTGAAAGGGGAAATTATTGCAGAAAAAAATCACACAAGGGCACTCAGATGATGATTCTCCAGTTACCTACCTCATGAAATTACCGAACTTAACAAAAATTAATTACAGTTTCCCCTGAAACTGGTTATTTGACATGTGCCAGATATGGCACTGTGGGCACTAAAGGGATACTAATTAATATTATTATTATTATCATTTTTATTATTAATATTATTATCATTGTTATTGTCATTATTATTATTATTATTGTTAGTAGTAGTAGTAGTAGTAGTAGTAGTAGTAGTAGTAGTAGTAGTAGTAGTATTAATACAACTATCAATATTGTTATCATTTAAAATAACAGCGATATAATAATATTAATATTATTATCATAAAAATGATTATTATTATCACCAATTATCATAATCATTATCATTATTATTATAACTCGTCCCTCTTGAACTGATGTTTTTCTTCAACATAATATTCGGAGGAAAAGAAGTGGTGGACCTTCCATGGGACAGCTTAGATGTTCTGTAAATGTAGCCAATTTAAACACACCCAAGTAGACAACGAATATATTTCTTCGTGCTGCGATAGAAAAGCTGGATTAGCAAAACTCATAAACAACTTAAAATATCTCGTGACCTCTACGCACTTGGACTATCTACAACTAGTTCAGGTCGAAAAACAAAGATACAGATGAAACCAATGACTTGGCTCACCGTCTAGAAGACGATAGCTAACAATTTGCAATTGTCGCTAACGAGAACACGCAGCTTGTCTCACCCAGCAAAGCGTGTGTTGTACAGAGAAGTAACGATTGAAAGAGGGAAGTAATTAAATAGCCCACAGGACACATTTTTTTTGCAGTGCTTTTTCCGTAAACCCGCAATCTCAGAGCACTTGAGAACTCATTATTTGTGCTCATTATTATTTCCAGGACAGATGCCAGTCCCGTGGCAACCAACTCTGTTTATATCCACTCTTTCACATTCTAAATCATAATCTCAGGCTGAGAAGGATACAGCATATCAACAGTAAGACCGAGATACTCGATAGACTTTTTTCTCCAAACTCGGTAATCAAACTCGGTTCTCCTGTATTCGACAGTGACCAATCTAACTACTACACCAGAAAAGCCGTTATAGTATGAATGGTACTGTTTACCTTTTTTTCAAGTTTTGATTAGAAGGGACTGAATTGAAAAGTATGAAAACAATGACGTTTTTTTTCCACCTTGAAAAAATGAATGAAAATTGCACATATTTAAACTACGTTGAATGAGTAGAATTCATGACATGTTTTGAGAGCTTATGTAAGTATTTAATTGAGGACTAGAAACCCACTTGTTCGTTCTATAACGCTTGAAAAGGCGCTGGTTTCGGGTACTTAAAAAGTAGCAAAAACATGATTTATTTTTTTGTTAAACCGTTTACTGAACGGCTGAATGTTTGTAACCAGGAGAGGCAATATTACAGGGGAGAGAGAGAAAGAGAAAGAAAGAGAAAGAAAGAGAAAGAAAGAGAGAGAGAAAGAGAAAGAGAGAAGGAGAATGAAAGAGACAGAGAGAGAGAGAGAGAGAGAGAGAGAGAGAGAGAGAGAGAGAGAGAGAGAGATTCAAAGATTCAAAATGATTTATTGATTTGAAAGGCCTTTGGCCCATACATCCACATATTTTAACATATGGTTCGGCAATTACATACATTGGTGCAGCACATTGGATGTTTAACATAAATTGGACATGCACGCCCACATACACGTATGCACGCACGCACGCACGCACGCACACACACACGCACGTGACGCACGCACCTACACTCATACACACTCCTGCTCACACACATACTTACATACATACATACATACATACATACATACATACATACATACATACATACATACATACATACATACATACATACATACATACATACATACATACATACATACATACATACATACATACATACATACATTCATATGATCAAATAGAAATAGAACTTCCACACAGTGCTATGAATGAGGCAGCGAGAGAAATCGGGACATGTTTCACTCTGAGAAGTGAATACCATTGTCTTTTTCATACACATATACATATAAAATAGTACCCATTACAGTAGATACAGAGTTACATATGCGAGTGAATACCTTTTCCCTAGGACAGACGTGTCCGTATAACAAC